TTAGCCGTACTTAAGTACGGCTAGCCACTTCGTAACTGCATTGCACTGGGTCAGTCTGAAAACCAACGCTGAGAGAAAATGACAGGAAACAATCATTATTCGCATGCGATCATTATTATTAGGCTGGCTCCACTTCTCCGAACGCTCCGATAAATAACTTGAACTCTATTTCTCCGAACGGTTTACGTGTTCGAGATTTGTTGGTTAGACCTCTTTGCGAATTGAGTGGCCAGTGTGTGTGTGTGTGTGTGTAAGGTGTGAACGGGGGGGGGGGGGAGATTTTTTCTTGTTTACATGAAGGAATTTAGTTATAGCTTTAGGAGTGACTGAATGCAAAATACATGTAGGTTACTGCCAGAGTCTAACAGTCTTGTTATCTGAATATTCTGACATTTAAAAATCTCTAGCTCTGGAAATTGAATTCGATGCCAAAAAGTGCTTCCCAGTCCTCGCAGTATGGTAGAATGAAAGATGACGCCGAAATCTCTGAGAAATAGAGGTCAAGTTTATTTTCTCGAGCATTCGGAGAAATAGTCACATTATTATTATGGCTCGTCTTATTGGCCCACATGGGCTATTGAAATTGCGTTGTTTTTTCAATGTATTTCATACGTGGTGTTGTCCCAATTTGTTCTCTTTTATTTTTTCTCGCTTTATCCCTTCTTGTTAATGTAATGTTTTCCTGAGACATTCCATCTCGCACACATTTCTACAGAATTGATTGTTTGTCAGCGTGTTCCTGCAGTTCAGTGTTATTGTTATGCAGTAGACTTTGATCGTCTGCGTACAGTATTTCATTTAGAATTTAGGTTATACGGATGTGGGCTTGCTTCTTTCGTCAAACAATATATTACGGTATAATTGAGTTATTTCATTGTTTACTCTATGTATACTGTGTTGGATAACAAGATGAAGATGTGTAACTTTTTAGACTCTATTGTTCATCTTTTTATTTTTTGCATTAGATTGGAAAACTATAAATTCTTAATTTAAAATATATGATTGACGGACTTTGTGGATTTGGGGGGG